CTGGTTCTCTGCCACGCCTACTACTGCCCAAAGGTGATGACTCCCCAGGCTACCGCCATCTTTGCCTTCCCTCCTGACTTGACATTGGCATCTCCAACTGCTTGTGGACCGAACTAGCCTATTTGTAAATCCAGCGTCTCCAATACACAATTTTTACCTTTTAAATCTGCTCCTCTTTCTGTGTTCTAGGTTTCAGTCGATGGAAACTCACTAGAGCTGTCTTTTTATTTTTAAGATTTTATTTATTTATTAGAGAGAGAGAGCGATCAGGGGAGCAGGCAGAGGGAGAAGCAGATCCCTGCTAAGCGATGCAGGACTTGATCCCAGGCCCCTGGGATCACGACCTGAGCCAGGCTTTCTGGGAACTCACTCACTCCAGTTGTCTTAAACATCTCCCTCAACCTGTCCCCCACCCCCAGCCTCCTGGTGGCCACAGTCGCTGTTACTCCCACATCCCCTCTCAGCCCATCCTTCCTCCCCATTTCCAGAGCCACTGCCTGGGCTGAGGCCCTCCCTCCCTCTCTCTTCATTACCACAATGCTTCCTGCCACCAGACTGATCCTCAACCACAGCACTGAACACCTCAGTCTTTCTCCAAACAAACAAACAAACAAAAAAAAAAAAAAAAAAAAAAAAAAGAAAAAAATTTTTTTCAATAGCTCTCAATTGTTTAAAAATAAAGTTCAAGTTTTTTAGCCTGGCTTTCAATGCCTACTAGAATCTTGTCTCAGCCAGTGTCTAGTCTCCTGTTATTCAGCTTCTATTTCCATAGTTCCCGCCTTCCAGGCACCTGTTCCCCCACCCTTGGATCTTCTGCATGTCGTCCCCATTCCATCCCACTTACCACATACTGCACCTCCTAGTTTTCTACTCACTGGAAGGTGCGATAACTGCCTCTTTTCTCTAAATCCTGAGCACCTTTTTATCGTTTTCGACATGAATTATACCATGCATTCCCTTTTCATACTGAGGCGAAATAGGTTAATTTTCCCTTCAGACTGGGAGGTTCTTCAAATTCCACTCAAGAGAAAATTACATAGCTTGCATTTTTTAAAAATAAGGCATTGTAACAGCAATTAGGACTCAAAAAAGAGCAAGTTGCTGCCCGGTACTGGATCTTTCTAGTGGGAAAAAGATACAGAAACAACTGCTATGCTATGTGGCAGGAAGCAGGCATGTCTTAACATTTGTCATCTTGAGTCTAGACTGGGCACACATTAGGTGAATGACATTCTAGAGCCTAAAAGATCATGCAATCTAACCTCTCATGTCCTTGCATAGAGAACTGAGACCACAGCAGGAAAGGGCCTGCCCATTCAGACCAGTGAATGGCAGTGCTGCACCAAGTCCTAGGCCAGGGCACACTCTGCCACAACACCTCCTCCTTTGCACCCTCAAGTGTTGCAGTCATTTGAGTTATGAACCACAAAAAATTTTCCCAAAAAGCAATACAGGATAATCAATGGCTATGTCTGGGCTGAGTAGCCAAAAGAAACAGAAGATCATAAAGACTGTAAGCATTGGGCAGCCCAGGTGGCTCAGCAGTTTAGCACTGCCTTCAGCCCAGGGCCTGATCTTGGAGTCCTGGGATCAAGTCCCGTGTCGGTCTTCTTGCATGGAGCCTGCTTCTCCCTCTGCCTGTGTCTCTGCCGCCCTCTCTCTCTCTCTCTCTCTCTCTCTGTCTCTCATTAATAAATAAAATCTTTTTAAAAAGTTATTAAAAAAAAAAGACTATTTCTCCTGTCATGAATGCACAGTTTCCATAAAGCTCTGCTCACCACGTTGCTTCTACGTAACTTTTTGGTCATTTATTTTCAAGAGTCAAATTATCTATTGGTTAATTAAGCATTCATCCACAGGAAAAGAGAAGATTAAACATTTTTAAAAGGTCTCATTCCTGGATTAGTACTCTTCCTGTAAGCCATCCGGAAAGTTCCAGAAAAACTGCCTGATTTTTTTTCTTCTAAAAAATGTTATATGACTGAGATGAAATTTTATTGCTTTTTTTCCAAAAGGTTTCTCAAAATCATTGCCTTATTCTCAGTTGAGCTTCAAACAAAACCAGATGAAAAATCTCTCAAGGCATTTTTATCCAGAATAAATTTGTCTTTTAAAGATTTTATGTATATATTTGAGAGAGAGAGAGAGAGAGAGCAGGGAGAGGGGCAGATGGAGAGGATAAGAGAGAATCCCAAGCAGACTCTGGTGCTCAGCAAGGAGCCTGACTCTGTGCTCCCATCTCACAAGTCTGATCATGACCTGAGCTGAGATCAAGAGCTGGACACTCAACAGAATGAGTTGCCCAGGTGCCCCTGGGATAAAGTTCTCTTTTTAAATCAGCTTTATCCTTTTCTTTATAAACCACCCATCTCAACAAGGTATATTTATTTACACATTTTATGCATCAATTTTAGAGAAATAAATGAAGAAAAAAGTTTTTATTTCATTTTCCTGCAGTCAAAAGCAACCACAGTATATAGATTAAACAAATTCTTCTTCTTCTTCTTCTTCTTCTTCTTCTTCTTCTTCTTCTTCTTCTTCTTCTTCTTCTTTTCTTCTTCTTCTTTTTTCTTCTCCTCCTCCACCTCCTCCTCCTCCTTTCCCTCCTCCTCCTCTTTCTTTTTCTTCTTTATTATTATTATTTCTACTGTAGAAAAAGAGAATGTCAAGGTGCCAACCATGGCTGGAGCAGAATAAAGGAATGGAGAGTGCCACTTGTGCGTATTGAACACCTGAAAAAAGTTTCTGAACATTCTCAACAACTTGGTGAATCACCCTCTCCTCCAGCTCAGCCAGGAAGGTAACATGGGTGTTTTCCTTTTTCTCCCCCTCCTAACATTAAAAATATATCTCACTTAGGCTTGTTTCACTGAAACCTCTATATGGACAAACAACCTGCCTAAAGACAAAAATGATACATTACAGACGTCTGTGAGGATGTAACCAGGTAATGGGTAAGAGCAGGGTTACGTCTTGCTCCTTTAATCCAAAAGGCTCTGCCCAGTTCTTAAGAAAAAGTAAAGATTTGCTGTGAATCACTGCAAAGCATTTATCTGTGCAGCCAGAAACACAAAATCCATTATAACTCGTTGTTATATTAGTAGTTACATGTTTTAACGTGGACTCAGCTTCCACAGGTCAAATCGTGTCTTATGATAGAAGGTAAAATCCTAATACAATGTGGTTACTCTGTCCTCCTAATACGCTGAAGAAATCACACTAATTCCACCTAGAGATCATTTTCAACCAGGCTTTAGTCCCCACAGAACTGAGTAATAATATTTTCTCCAAAGAATGATAACACTACTAACTCATCATTGGATGGCACCTTGCAGATCACTGTGGTCTTTCATCTATTTCTCCTGTGTAACAGTATAGATGAGGAAACTGAGTCTCTGGGCAGTTAAATGTTTGCTCTGTCATGCAGCTAGCAAATAAGGACATGGTACGGAGCAAGGGAGGACATGGTAGGTGACACAGAAAGCCTGGGCTTTAGGGTCAGACAAACTCAGGATTGAATCTCAGCTCAACTAACCATAGCAACACAAACCTGGGCAAGACCTCCTTTTTTTCTTTAACCACAACATATGTGTGATACTCACCTCACTGATGTATGAGAATTAAAAAGGCCATGTAAAAAGCACACAACAGAATTCACGGCACATAAAAGATATTCATTGCATGTTAGCTTTCCTCAGTAAACACATCTTTAAAAGGGACGTACTGAAACCTACCCCATGAGACCAGTGTGGGGATTAAATCCTGTCCTGAGAGGGCTTACCATGGCCCCACTCCCCACCCCACACCCATACCAGCACTGCCTCCCTGGAAAGGTCAATTCAGGATATTAGAAAACAGCTTCAGAGAGAGGAAGTCTATCTTCCTATGTCGACAAGCATTTGACTTATCTACTGAATTTCATAATTGTCTCTAAGACAAAAATGACCGGAATTAAATGTTTTTCAAAGACCGAGAACAAAGCCAAAGTCAACGTCAGGAGTTAATTTCAAGATACCCAGAAGCCCTCCTGGTGATGAAAGTTTAAGATCATACCAACTTCAGTCCACTCTCTTCAACCATCTATGCAGTTCCTTTTTTTTTTTTTTTTAAATCAGGGACGTCATTAAATTTAACCAAAGGTTAGATGGAGTGAGAAGAACAGAGGGGGGTGGAAAGAAGAGGAAAATGAAAAGCCAGCGGACAGAAACAAGTGAGAGGAAGGTACGTTTTCACACAAATCTGAGTCCTCTCTCGAAGCCATCACCCACACTAACATATGTGATTTCCTCAATGCTTTTAAGTCGCCCGCGGCCCCTGCGGCCCGGCCTTCCCCAGCACCCCGGCTCGCCCTCAGCCCGCAGCGCGCTGTCTGTCCCGCAGGAGCCCGGGCCGCGGTGTGTGCTCCAGCGTCAGCTCGGTCACCTTCGCCCAAAGTGACGGTGTCAATTAAATTTCAAATGCAGTCCTCACAGGGAAGCACGCAGGAAAACTTTCCCCTCGTCTGAAGGGCTGTCCCCTGTTTTGGAAAGTTCTTCTTTGGGTAAGGTCGGATTTAATTGGATATCCATGTACATAAGGTACCCACACCGCGGGCTGTGGGAAACGGCCGTTGTGGTCGTCCTCTGGGTTTTTAGAATACTCGGTGTCTGGAACGAGGTGCTCAGAATCCGTAAGCGGGCGTCTGAGCAGCACCGCAGAGGACTTGCCCGAGTGCGCGCCCTTAGGTCTGCAGGCGCAGACCCAGGGAGGGGCGCGCGTGCGGGGAGGAGGCAACCAGAAGGCCAAAACGCACTTTCCCCCGGAAAACGTGCCTTTCTTTTTGTCCTAAGGGTGAGTCCTGGAGAAGAACGCCAGGTCAAAATGCGCACCCCCGTGGGAGAGACCCTCCGGCCAGACTCCTAGGGTGGCGCGGGGCGGCAGGCGCGGGATGGGGCCGGGGTGGGGGGCCCGCGGTGAGGGGCCGGCCGGGGCCGGGGAGCGCGGGCCGGGGGGGGGCCGAGGGGCCGGGGGGCCGGGGGGCCGGGCGCCAGCTAGCTGCCCGCCTCCTCGGGCTCGCTGCAGGGCGAAGGCGCCGACGAGGCCTTGGACTCGCCGTCGCTGTTGCAGTCGGCCGGGCGCGGGGTGCGGGCGGCGGCGGGGCCCTCCTGCGCCCGGGCCTGGCGCTCCAGCAGCTCCTGGAGGTGCCCGATGTAGCGGATGGCGGCGCGCAGCGTCTCCACCTTGCTGAGCCGCCGCTGGGCCAGCTCGCGGGGCAGGTGGTCCCGCAGGCGCGCGTAGCCCTCGTTCACGCCGCGCACCCGCTGCCGCTCGCGCTCGTTGCGCCTGCGGAGGAAGGCGGGCTCCAGGGCGCAGGCCAGCGGCAGCGGCAGCGGCAGCGGCAGCGCCAGGCCCGGCCCGCGGCCCCCCGGCGCCCGCGCCCGCGCCCAGCACGCGGCGTGCAGCCGCAGGGGCACCCCGAGGGGGTCCCCGAGAGGGAGGCGGGGCAGGGTCCCCGGCAGGTCCAGGGGCACCGTGCGGAGGGGGCGCGGCACGGGCAGCAGGCCGGCCGCTCCGCGCGTCTCCATCCCTCGCGGAGAAGCAGACCAATCACCCAGAGGCTGGCGTCTTACAAGAGGAGACTTAAAACCTTCGAGGCGTGGATGCGGGTGCGTTCAGGCAGCCTGGCACAGCTCGTCCGTCTGTAAAGAAGTTTCTGGTTCCGAGACAGGCTTCAAGGGAACTTCGCGCGATTCCCTGAATTCATGTCACTCCTCGATCATTTATAAAGATCCAGACGGAGGTGATCGGCAAACATTTAGGATCCCGCTAATCCACACTTCAAACCCTGTCTTCCCCTCTGATCTTCTTACTTCGGCACATAACAAAGGGGGATTCTCTGCTCGGTCCCCTAGCCTGGAAATGTGAACATACACCAAACAGAGTAATCTTGCAAAATCACCCAAGCGCTTCAATTACTGCAATCCACCGCTCCAAGTCTTCAAGAGCATAGGAACCTTCAAGGTTTCAAAAGAGCCCCTCCCAGGAACCAACAGATCTGGCCGGCTGAGCGAAAGTCTTACCAGAGGCTTTCTCCTTGAAAATCAAAACGTGCCTGCCCTTTGTGGTTTCCGGCGTCCAGGGCTAATGGAAAAAGCTTTCAGACTGTTTGCAAACTTACACTTGCTCTTCCATTTCTGCGGAGGTGGAGTGGAAGACCTCATCAAAGGAAAGACTGCTCCCTTGTGGTTATAAGATGTGTCAAGTAAAGGGGGGCCTTGGGGGAGGCTTGAGGGTTTCCTTCTCCCGAACCAAACCTTTTAAAAACTCAATTAGACATTTTTTGAAGAGAAGAGGGAAGGGATATACCTTAGCAACGAATAGAAGGGTCTGAGTATTATGCTCCTGCTTATGTTGAACGCAGGTCGTTTTATGCATGTGTGGTTGTTTTTAAGAGCACATCAAAAGGTTGAACAGTAACAAACACTTTTAGCCAGTTATTTCTCACAGTGCTTACTGTAAACACGGGTTAAACACTGCTTCCCGACCTCTTCTAATCCCACCCAGGATATAAGAACATTTCCCCATAGTGCAAAAAGTGTATTTCTATTGTATTCTTCTTTTTGTCTTAAAAAACAAAGATACATTTACTTTCTCCCTTGGGGGCAGGAAAGCAACATTTGAAAGGTGAGGAGCACCAATTCCAAGGATAAAGGATGATGGCTTTGAAGACTTGTCTTTTTAACACACAACCAAAAAGAAAGAAAAGAAAAGAAAAGAAAAGAAAAGAAAAGAAGAAAGAAAGAAAGAAAGAAAGAAAGAAAGAAAGAAAGAAAGAAGAAAGAAAGAATAATTAATCCATCCTGTTGGTGAAAGGCTTTGAAGATGAAAGTGTCATTAAAAATCCATCAGTGAAAAAAAAAATCCAACAGTGCTGATTAATGTCAAAAAATGTGTTATCACTTTGAAAATCAGATTTCTTGTTCTGCAAACCCAGCATATTAAAGGCAGCTTCTACTTTTAAAAGTCCAACTTAAAAACGAGAAGCAAAAACCCCCTACATTTATGATCTGACTTTCTGCCTATTCGTCAGGAGCCAGGGTGTCGCCCTGACATGTTTTTTTGACAAGTGCTACGCTTACCTGTTTACTCCAAATGATCTGCCCGAAGCAACCGGAAAAACACCTGCATCAAGGCAAATAAAATAGAAATAATTATTCCTTTTAGGCATAAGTTAGTCACATTTTAAAAACTCCCTATGAGGCTTGTACCAGCAAACAACCTAATGTGTCACCTTGATTTCTCAGTAGAGTTGAGAACAATCCAGAGAAAGCCCTTCCTGTTGGGAAACAAGCCCACCAGAGAGGTAGAAAGACTATTACACCATAAGGTGCTTTGGGCCATGTTAAGGATTTTGGCCTTTGTTCTAAGAGTGATGGGAAATAAATGATGTGTTTTAAGCACAAAAGGTGACAGAGTAAGATTTTGCTTTTCAGAAACATCTCTCTATCTGCAAACAGGAGAGTAGATTGGAGAGGGGAAAAAAAAGGAAAACAGATAAGAGATACCATTTTTCATTCTCAGATTGGAAAATGTAAAAATTGCTAACATCCAAGGCAAGCAAGAATTTGGGGAAGGAGCAGAAGCATGAATTGCTACAAGCTTTTGGGAAAGTAACTATTAAAATTAATAGTGTACATCACATGTCCTTTGACCCAGAGACCCTACATAAATAAATGCACTGGTGTGAATTTATATGTACAACAATATCTAATGCAACGTTGTTTGTAGTGATTTTTTAAAAGATTTTTTGAAGATTTTTTTTTATTTATTCACACACACACACACACACACACACACACACACACACACACAGAGCAGGCTCCCCCGAGGAGCCCGGTGTGGGACTCAATCCAGGGACTCTGGAATCATGCCCTGAGCCGAAGGCAGACGCTCAACCACTGAGCCACCCAGGTGCCCGTTTGTAGTAATTTTTAATTAGTTTTATTTTTTAAAAGATTTTATTTATTCATTCATGAGAGACAGAGAGGCAGAGACACAGGCAGAGGGAGAAGTAGGCTCCCTGCAGGGAGCCCGATGTTGGACTGGATCCCAGGATCTCCTCAGCCTGAGCCAAAGGCAGACGCTTAACCAGTGAGCAACCCAGGTGCCCTGTAGTGATTTTTATTTTTTTTAAGATTTATTTTTATTTATTTATTTATGATAGACAGAGAGAGAGAGAGAGGTAGAGACGCAGGCAGAGGGAGAAGCAGGCTCCATGTCGGGAGCCTGACGCCGGACTCGATCCCGGGACTCCAGGATCCCGCCCTGGGCCAAAGACAGGCGCGAAACCGCTGAGCCACCAAGGGATTCCCCCCTGTAGTGATTTTTAAAAGGAACAAAAGGAAACAGCTTGAATGTCCATCAATAGAGAGAAGGCTAATACTTTAAGAATATTATGCTATTATTATTTTTTTATTTTTTATTTTTGAAATTTATTTATTTATTTATTTATTTATTTATTTATTTATTTATTTATTTATTTATTTATGAGAGTCACAGAGAGAGAGAGAGAGGCAGAGACACAGGCAGAGGGAGAAGCAGGCTCCATGCACCGGGAGCCCGATGTGGGACTCGATCCCGGGTCTCCAGGATCGCGCCCCGGGCCAAAGGCAGGCGCCAAACCGCTGCGCCACCCAGGGATCCCTATTATGCTATTATTAAAAAGAATGAGAGCTCAATGTAAGAACTTGCAGAGCTGTACATAATGTGTCAAGTGGAAAAAAAAAAGCCAACTAAAGAGTAATATATACAGTGCGAATTTAAAACAAACTATTTTACATGATACATATGTCTTTGTATGTGCTAATGCAAGCATAGAGATGGAAGTGAAAAGAAACACAGTGCATTTCTGTCATTGGTGGCCTTAAAAAGGTGGCTAGGTATGTTGTAGATAAGTCTAGATCAAGTGACAGATATGCCAAACCTCCACGACACTCGGGACTAGGTTTGGTTGTCCTTTTTGGATCTGCTTGTAAAAGGGGAAATGGGAATTCACTAAAGAGCTGGCTCAGTAGATTCACAGGTATCTCTGAGGCCAAGGAAGACTTCCACCTCTGAAACTCAGGTCCCTCATCAGCTGCCTGAAACATGTGAGATGAGGACTTTGGATTGGCTCTTCTTCCAAAATGTTTGATATCACATTATAGATTTTGGTTTCCTAGGCTGGTTGGCACAGAGGTGATCTGTCCTCACATCTGGAATTTGCATCAGCTGCCTCATGAGGGAACAGGAAACCGGATGTGCCAACCTCATTGGTAGAAATAAGATTTCCCACAGGTGTAGATAACTCAATCTCTCTCTCTCTCTTTTTAAGGTTTTTTTATTTATTCATGAGAGACACAAGAAGAGAGGCAGAGACACAGGCAGAGGGAGGTGAAGCAGACTCCATGCAAGGAACCCGATGTGGGACTCGATCCTGGGAATCTGGAATCATGCCCTGAGCCAAAGGCAGACACCCAACTACTGAGCCACCCAGGCATCCCTAGATATCTCAATCTCAAACTGAGTAGATCATATGACTCTATTCAGTTAGTCCTCTCCTACATAGCTCAGGTATAAGCTATCTCTATTATCATGCACAATATCTCCCAGGGGTCTTCTTAGGTTCAGCTAAATATTGGGACTCAGTAAGACTACCGGGGGCCACATTTGGTGTCAGAATCACTTGGAAGGGTTTAGATCAAGAGCAATGCTTGGAGCAGGGCTGAACTAGGCATCTCACCTCCCTGGGGTCCCTCCAATAATCTGTGCAGCAATGCACATGGGTGCTTTTCCCAAACTCCCTGTGTTACAGCTCAGATATGAGCAAAGAAGACTCACATCAGCCCCACGTGGTAGCTGTCCTGACTTAAAAGTCTCAGACCCCTCATGAGCCAGGTCATTCTTTAACGACCCCACAGGCATAGCTTCCGGGGACCCCACTGAAACCCAAGGAAAGCGTCTTCATCCACAGAGAAGCCCAAAGCTATGCTCCCTCATCAGGCATTTATAGTTGTGCTGGGCCAGATGCAATCAACCAATCAAGTAATTGCTTTAAAAGAAGTAAGGTTGCCTAATGGCATAGTTGACATTCTATCTTTATCAGGTTTCAGAGGACCAGAAAACAGAAAGTTAACTGAAGGTCAAATTGTCACTGTAAAACTTCCATAAATCCTTTACCTGCACCATTCCATTCTATTTTAAAGATAATTTACAGCAAGATTTAAAGAACCCCAAAAAGCTTTGCGCAGCGGCAGTATCCTAGCCAATGAGGTTCATCTTAGGCGCAATTATTGCTAATTGAAAACTTAAAGAACCACATATATTTAGGTACAACGTATTCCTAGCTTTTCATTCTTCTCAAACACTCTTTCCATATTAACCTTGTCTATGCAGCCTTTTGTCAGACAATAATGTGAACTTTTGCTGTAGTCCAATACATTCATCTTTCCTTGAGGCTTTTGTTTTTTCTCTCTTCTTTAAGGCTCCCTGCCACAAGTTTTGCAAAGCATTTTCCTTGTCCGTGTCTGGCACGTTGGTGTGAATT